CATGGAGGAAAAATAATAATTGTTCATCTTTTTTTTTATATGAGTTGGCATTTTATTTAATTTAAAAATAATGATTTTTTTTTCCATCCATGTCATCTCTTCTTCCTCTTTCACTTCCTCTCTCTCTTGTCCCTTCTTCTTCCGCTCCAAATCAAACCCATATCTGGGTTTTCTCGAACCCATATCTAGGTTTTCTCGAACCCAAATGACTCCTTCGACACCACTGAAAAAACCCAAATGACTCCTCCGACACCACTAAAATGCAACAAAAGAGAAACTAAATCACAGTCTAACAAAAAAACCTCAAATATGTATTTGAATTTCACCAAACCAAGTCAAATCACATGGATGCGAATAAATCAAAAAGAAACAGTACTGAACCACCGGAGACTCGATATGTAGCAAACCACAACCCAAAATGCCGGCGAAATCAACATGGAAACCAACGAGAACTGGTTTAAAAAGAATCAAAAATTCTAGTTCCATCAAGACAAAGAAAAGTAGCAAAATTAGGACCAAGAATCAACCACAAGAGTTCGAAAAAATCGAACAAAAATGAAGCTCTCATCAGTGGCTAGCTCGTTCTTGAGAGAAACGGAGAAGAATCTTTAAACGTGGAGAAAAGATAGGGTTTCAAGATAGGTTTTGGTCCCTCATGTCTTGGTGATTTTTACGAATTCTGCTAGGTGGTTGAGGGGGGATTTGAGGGCAAAAGGGTGGGTTTGAGACAAACCCAGGGCCCACTAATTCCAGCATAAAGTACTGTGAGCACATTGGACACTCATGTGGCTTGCCTTTCTCCAGCCAAAACTAGACAACATCATGCTCATCCTTGCCTTCAGCTCATGGGCGCCCAACTATTCTCTTGTCATAGAAGGATTTGATGACTGCAGGAGCTTCCTTTGTGCCAAAAGGACCAACAAGATTGTTAAAATCTTCAAGAATTTTTCGCCCCTGAAGTTCAGCTTCAAGCTCCTCACACTTGTGCTCTGTGGCAATTGGATTTATGTCCTCAACCCTCTTCTTTACAGCAGTATCCACTGATTCGAAGGAGAAATGGCAAGTGAAGAAAGAAGTGGAGGTGGATGGAGAAATGTAGAGTTTGTCTCAAGCCCCAATCTGGGTTTGTTTTGGAGAGGAAGAAAAATCGATAAGAGAGAGAAAAAGAAAAAGAAAGAAGATGAAGTTTTTTTTTTTTTTTTTTTT